TTGGATTTTGTTTGCATTGGGCCCCGTGTGATAACGTCCTTAGACCTGACATAACAGAAAGACACATTAGTTCCTACCTGTGTTCATGTTCATTTCCAGCAGTGAAAGCTGAAGATCTTGTTAAAGGTTGTGTCCTGACAGGCGTGAAATTAAGCATGAACAAAGTACTGAGCTTTGAGGAGAACCCTCTAGTGAGAACAAGCCCGTGTGAGGTCAAATTATCAGCTAATGTTTAAAATACCGGTACAACCTTAGAACTGAAGAAGGCAAAGGAAATAAGAACAAAGAGAAGCATGGCACATGTGTGTGTGTTTTCCCAAGCTGACAACTAGTATTGTAATGACCCAACACCAGCAGTGACCAAAGAACCTTTTTGCTGGATGGGGAGGATGTTCATCTTCCAGTTTTGGAAATGAATGTATCACAGAGAAAAACCAAAGTTTCTTTTCCCAGCAATAAAAGGCTGAATATTCCTGCTATGGGACAAATCAAGGGTGGGCAAACAAAAGGCTGGTGCCCTGGGTATAAACTTTCTGTTGCTTAACTTTCTGACAGAGTACCTGTCAAATGAGGCTTCAGCAGAGGCAAGGTTTCTTTTCATAGCATTTCACAAGCTCCTTGGTTCAGTAATCTTGTAAGAAAGTTAGTTACTAACTCACCAAAGCCTTGGTAAGACTAGTCCTTTCTTTTTACACCTAAGGGAGAATGGTTTAACTGTGTAATTGTAGTCCCTGAGGTTGAGTTTCCTTCTGGGCTGAGGGAGATTGGAGTTTATCACATGGGACAGAAGTGCCCAAATCCCATGGATAGATGAGATTTAAATCCAGGAATATCCCGCAAAAGTAGGATTGTTTTCAAACAACGTCAGGCTAATTGAGCATTAATGCAACATTAATCCATGCAGAAAGTCGCAAAATCACACCGCTTTTTCCTTTCAAGAAAATCCCGAAAGTAAAAAGCGGCATGATTTTGCCCATGTTCTGCACAGCATAATGTCGCGTTAATGCTCAATTAACCCAATGTTGTCTGAAAACAATCCTGCTTTTGCAGTATATTCTTGGGATTTAAACCCCATTTATCCATGGGATTTGGGCACTTTGCCTCCCCTGTGATAAACTCCATTGTGAACAGTTACTAGCACTATAGATATGGTGGAAGGGATTTGTCCTTCCCAATGGCACTATCCACTCCCTCTTACTATCCAGGCCATTGCTGAAAGAATAAAGCACACTGAAGGCTGAGAATGTTGCTGCTGCTATTGTTGTTGTTAGATTAGGATGTTGTTGTTAGAGAGAGCTTGCAAAGCAAAGAGGAGCAAAACACAACCTATAGGGCATTAAGCAAGAAAGAAGACTAACCTTACCAGGAGTTGCTCTCACTAGAAGCTGCTCCTCAAAGGTGTGTGCCATTCCTGCCTCTCAGGGTGAGAGGGAATCCAGACCAATCTCAGGATGTTCTTCCTTTCATTGCTGGGAAATTGCAGTTAATAGTAGTGAAATGAACATATTCTACTTGAATCAGAAATGCTACTTTATTCTTTAAGCTCCAGATGCTGAATAGTTATTGTTGAACAATGCAGACAAAAAAAATTAAAGCATTAAGATACAGAACCAGAACTGAATATTTGATTACCAAATTCGATTATTGGATAGCAACTTTTCAGTCCCATTAGATCATAGTGAATACAGAATTAGAAATAGGAAAATATGTGATTGGTGTAGTTTTGCTCAGAAACTGAAACTAGTGAAAATGTTATCTCCTCTTCCCCCATTCCCACCCCACAGCAGTCTCACTATATAGTTGCAGGGAATGTGGAAGGAAACCCGGATACTGACCCTTCAGAACAAATAACAGACAGAAAAACACTAATGAAGGTTTGTGTTTATTGCTCCAGGTCTGGCTGGCTCATGTTTGGCTCGATTCAGCACTATGCCTTTCCTCTACTGCAATCCGGGCGATGTCTGTTACTATGCGAGTCGCAATGACAAATCCTACTGGCTCTCAACTACAGCCCCTCTTCCAATGATGCCTGTGGAAGAAGAAGAGATCAGACCTTACATCAGCCGTTGCTCAGTGTGTGAAGCTCCAGCCGTTGCAATAGCCATTCACAGCCAGGATGCGACTATTCCACACTGCCCTGAAGGATGGCGAAGTTTATGGATTGGTTACTCCTTCATCATGGTATTTGCTTCTGTTGATGTTTAGTATACAGCCTTTTAGGAACCACATTGATAACTTGATTTTATGCCAGGGAGGTCAGGGAATCCCCAGCATGTCCCATTCAAAGGACTAAACAGATCCACAAGTGTTTCACTTAAGCAGTGCTGCAGCATCAGTTTTTCCTAAATTATTTGGTGGGCCTTGGGCCATGAATAGATTTTAGTAATATGTCAAGACACTTCCCAAGTTGCTTGATTGATGGACAGGTTTGCTAGAAATCTGTACAGAAGGGAATTCATCTCCCAGGGTCCACAGTTATTGGCTGACCTTGGTTGCCTCATGGCTGCCAGTGCTTCCCACTTCCATTTTGGAGAGCTGTAGCTGAGCATAGGCAAAGAACCCAACAGCTTTCCTTTCTGCATAAAAAGGGAGACACAAGGGGTGGCCGTTGCTCCCCTGAAGTGCCTTAGTTAACCCTGCAGTCAAACTAGTTCTGGTTTTTCTTCCTCACTTTAGTCCTAGGAATGGACCAGTGACTGGTATGTAACTACCAGGATAGCCCAACCTAGAGATAGCCAAACTATGGTTTTATAAATAAAAAGTGGAATTATTACACTTCTCAGCTGGCTTCCTGTTAGTGACTTACACTCAAGCCTCTTTTCAGACAGGGCATAGAGAGTTATGCGTTTGTCCTTGAACCCTGTGCAAACCCCCTCCATCAATGCCTGGCAGTGTCAAACCCTGGGAAGGTGAGGAGGCAATTCAGAACATGCACCGTATTTTCTGGTGTATAAGACGACCCCCAACTTATCCAGCTAAAATATAGTGTTTGGGATATAC